GTTGTATCTCGGACTCTCAACCTTGTCCTTAGGCAAGACACTTTATCTACGTTTGTCTCTTCCCCACCTTGGTGTATAAATGGGTACCGGCATATGCTGGGAAGGTAAAACAGACTGCCGAAGTGCGGGAGGAGTGGCGAACCCCCCCCCCCCAGCCTTGCACAGTCTGGCCCAAACGCTAATTAAATAAGAGAGACGGGCACTCCGGCCTGCTCCAGGTTTCTAACCTTTACCTTTTTATAATACCCATACTTTATATTGTTACATTGTATTATTTAATACGAATGACATAAGACGGAGTCTTGACCAGATTGTGGTAGTGAATTAAAGAGCTGTTCACCCTGATCAAATTTAAAATTATACTTAAAAGTTAATGGAAAATGGTCAGAACTCAATACACCATATAAATAACTTTCACCATTATCATTTTTTGACAGACAAAAGTTGGTCTACCAAATACATGAATTTATTACAGTTAATTTTTGGGAGATAAATATAATGTTTATGTCAATGTATTCCGGTGGCGGATCCAAAAAAGTAGCGTAGCATTTGAGGACATATGGTCCGAATAGAGAGGAACCTAAGGCCGAGAGGGAAGAAGGTCTTGGGTGTCTTCTTACCTGTTGTGGGGGTGCAGAAGGCTATTTCATCTAGAATGTTCGAAGTGTTAGCCATTCTAATCTCTTATCTAAATAACTTCAAACATGGTTAATAATTGATTTGTCTTTTACCGGGTGGGTGGGAAGGTAGGACCGCCCCTTTTGCCACAACCCTGTGTCCGCCACTTTTTGTGTAAACCAGTTTCTATCATCAACATTATCATTATTCTATATATTATATATTTTATTTTAACCGAAGATGTTACTTAAATTAATAAAAGAAACATTAATAAAACTTCATTTAGGAATCTTACCCATTAACATAGGGAAAAAAATGGTTTGTCCATTTTATTCAATATCATAAATAAGTTATTACCTGAATCGTATTGTATTAAACCCAGTCATTTTAAATTCTGTCATATTTAAAAAAAAAACTAAAAATAGGCCTATACCATTATTGAATAATTTAGCCAAATACATTTATGATTCTTTTGAAAAATGAAAGAGCATATTGTGTTTTCAGACAACTGTAAATGTTTTTTCTTCATCGTGTAAATGGGCCAGAGGCCTAAGTACAAATAAATGTCCTAGGACAAGTTTATAGGAACGAACAATATAATATATTTAATGACTGTGACGGTAGAGCCTATTCATTGAACAGAACTGACCGGGTCATTCTCTAGTCATTGGATACACACAATGTTTCTATAAAATATTAATATTGGTTTATAATTATTCGTTTTTACTTCTATATTTCATTGAAAGATTTGAAAATGGCTCGTTTTAGTCTTGCATTGCTGTGTGTGAGCCTTTGCATTGCAGCGGTAAACTGTGGACCAGCATATTACAGCTTGAGGGAGCTATTGCAAGAATATATTGAAGAAATGGATGCACGTGATAACGTACAAGGTAGGAATCTACCCTCTTTTGGGGCTCATCGATGAAGGAGTACAAACCAATCATCGGATAACGGAAGTCATCGTGATTCATATAAAAATTTAATTTGTTAATTTTTTTAAATAACTCTATACAACAGTCTGACCTCACTTACAAATAATTGGTTAAGGAATAACCGATTTATCATTATCATCACCACTATCACTTACTTGGATTCTTAATGTATTGTATATATTTTTATGTATTGTTTTTCTTTAGAGGGCCTCTTCAAGTCAGCTGTACTACTGTAGTGCAGCTGTTAGAGCGACCCTCGTGAAATAAAGTTGAAATAAATAAAAAAAATAAATCATCATTTTATTTTTATAGGGTAATATAGACCTATTAAACTATAGTTTTAAAATTTTGAAAATTTGGGGATTATCATTGTCAGTTTTGTCATTGTCATTGTTATGTTGTTTTAATCGCTATCGTAATTATTATCAATAGGTCTAATAATTGAGGATAATATCATCATCATCATCATCGTTGTCATCGTTTATATCACCATCATCATCTTTATCATTCTTTGTATTTTTTGAAATTATGATTTACGAAATAAATGAAATAATAATTATCAGTAGGCCTATCATTATCACTACATAGCATGATATAATGCTGTTAATAGGCCTACTAACTTTACAGTCACTAGCATGCTTAGTCAATAAACAGCCTATTTAGCTGTATGTTTTCTTTTTTCATATTTAGTGCGAGATTATTGTTTGGGAAACCCATGTCCATCCGGGCAATACTGTTACACAGGCACATTCATCACTTCCATAAAAACAGCATTCTGCTCCAAAAGTAAAAGTAAGTAAACTATGATAATTTCTCTCTGGTTGGTTGTTGGAGGATTCTAGACAATCACAGTACTCTTTTTCAACAATACAAATTGGTTCCTTAAGCCATACGTTTTTATAAGCTGAAAAACGATACTTATCATACGTTACGATCGCGTAACAGGCACCGCATAAAAATTCCAACAAACCCCTTCCTTACCCTGCCCCCGCCATGAATCACCGTGTGAATTGCAAGTTTCTTGAAATGGCAAATTTCATCATAGTTTTTATATTTTATACAAGGAAAGTGAGTGACACGTTTCATCAAAAGGAGTTTGCTCGAAAAAGGATTCGGCCGAACTATAAAACCCATGGGTTACGAGCTGAGTTGATTAGCTTACGGCATGTGGGGCACCATATCAGTGGATTGATTGTGGGCGTCTTTAGTTATTATCGTGTTAGACCTTCTCTTCACTTCGTGTTATGTACCACTAACCATAATTTCTTTTTATTTTCTAGACCCATGCGATGACATAGTAAGTGCATGTGGTTACAGTGGAGCTAAGTGTACTAACTTCGGTAATGGGCACTACTCCTGTAAAGCTGAAGTAAGAAGTGTAGAAACCTGGTGATTCTATGCCTCCAAGTACACATATGTATGTACATAAATATGTACACAGACCTACGTCGTATTAAAAATAGGAGGGAACTATCGCTTTACGTGTTCCCATTACAATAATTATTCAGTTTTTTAGATATTGCGTTCATGAATAGGCCTACAAAAATGTTACGTTGATTTTTTTTCAATAAACATCCCCTAAAGGCTAGCTTGTATTTAGGCCTATCATATTTTGTCTTTAAAACGAAATAAGAATAACAAAGAATTAGAACAAAGTATGAAGGAGTGAATTGATACGATAATGTGTAGGACCACTTTTTAAGCTTGTCCACACTATCTAATGTTCATTGACAAAAAACTGTTGTATGCCCATATATAGTCATGATGTTCCTATATATGGTCATGATGTGATGCCTTCATGACATTATTTAGGCATGTCACGTTTTTGCCAAGTAAAATAAAATTTGATATTCTCTGAATAAAGCTTATAATACAGGTGTTGGAGGCGATTTACGAGCAGATGAGAGAAGGGGTATGCTAAAAATTTGAAGCGTCGATATAAACGGTCTCGTCTTTGTAAGTGATATGACAGCAGAAAATTCGAGGCGCAGATGGGCGGCTCCGCCGGCGCCATTTCCCCCTCAAACAGAGGAAAGAAACTTGCCATCAAATATAAGTTTGAGAGTACGTCCCCCTTCAAATATTAAATATATAAGATGTGTATAAGAGACAGGTATGACTGGTGTGCTTCCGTAATACGTCACATCAGTGGTTAACTCAAATTCCTGGACCCGCCACTGCACATGGCTGCAATTATGAATATGTATCATGTATGTATGTTGTATGTATGTACGTATGAATGTATATAGTTAAGTAGAATGTGCCTATGTATGCAAGGTGTCAAGTTCAAGTTTCTCTGTGTTGTCACGTATAAAGAGTTCACATGAAATTCTTTTGCCAAGGTTCAAGATACTAATATACCTGTCTCTTATACACATCTAGATGTGTATAAGAGACAGATAGTACTTGCATGAAATTCTCACTTTATACTATCTGGCTTTTACAACACTCACTCACTCGCCACTGAGGAAGGACTAGTGTTGTCCGAAAGCTCTAGTTCTATTTCTGGCTGTTTACTTACTTTACTTTTTAGCTGTTGCTTGTCATTTTTGTATCTCTACCGAGATCCAGCCATTGTTTCCCACAGCATTGTTGTTTTTTTAGTATTTTGCCTTTTAATCTATATATATATTACAAGTATATATATATATTACAAATGTGGGAAAAAAAGTTTAAGAGTATTTTTTCTGGCAATCTTGAGGTGTCATAGTTTCAAAAGTTTGTACCTCTACGCCAAACAGGGTGGGGCTGTGGTAGTATGAACATCTGTAACATTCTGTTCCCGAGTCCCCTATATTTCAAATTACTGGATTCGCATTAGTTAAAATTGGAGAGAACAGCACTAGATCGAAGAGATATTGTGTGCAAAATGACGATAATTGCTGAGGCCTCATATGTCATATGTGTTCAAAATGTGAAGGTTCTATTAAAGCATGGACCTATAAAAGAGTGGTTACCTTTGGCACTAATTTGTTGTTACTCCCTCTTTATTGCACTTAGAGCGCGCCATACATAAATTAAATGGCGTCCCATACACGATATTTTTTTTTTTCGGATATTCCGTCTGTAAATTAACTTTCTCGTTGGTGGGGCTGTCAAGAATTAGAAAAAAATAAATAAATAAGGAATTTGTGGCAAGTCTACCTTTGGCCCTAACTAAAATAAATATCCAAGTTCAATAAATAACTTTTAGCTCTAAACACAATAAATAACTTTCAGCTCTAAACACAATAAAGTTGGCATAACATTAAACCACAGCTAAATTTACACATTGTAATGAAATTCAAGACAATTTTCAAAACATTTCTAAAATCAGACTACAAAAACAACCAAAGAATATAGTTACAAGATATGATGTCATTTTATTACACAAAAAATGTCGTTCATTGTAGATCTTTTCATTTTCTAAATTTGGGATGAAGATACGGCAACTGAGATCAACATATTTCAGATAATCTGCATAGGACTGCAGGGCAGATCCAGAGAGAGAATGCGGGTCAACGCCCCACCCTGCCCCCTCCTCCCAAAAAAAAGGGAAAAAAAAGAGAAGAAAAAAAGAAATAAGAAAGAGGGGAGTACAGTACTCCAAAAGAAGCTGTTTAAAAAAAATTTAAATACCATAAGCATTTCTAAAAATAATCACCACAACACCCCCAACATATTGCAGGTCACGTGTCCCCTTTACAGATTTTTCTCTGTTTCCACCCCCGCACTGCATATTGTTCTATTAAACATATCCTACCAAAAACAAATTATTACTGGGTATCCATTGGCTGTTTATTATTTATTTGTTTTTAATTAAAATATTTTATTTTTAATACATTAATATATGAAGCTTGCCATGTCAAAACCAGCATACGGTCTCTAAATTTTAAACTGAGTAATTTGCATAAAAATGTATTGTATAATTTAGTACAGAGAAGCTGTAAATACTTTTACTCATAACTTTGGCAACAGCAGTCGATTCCAGTAAATGACCCATCATTTTAAAGCTTATAATATGAAGAATGTGAAAAAAAAAAAAGGCAATTTTCATGTTTTTGTTGCTGATGTTGGCTTTGACATAGCAAGCCTCCATATTTTTGCCATTTATATAAATGTCCATTGATCAATATTTGTTAATTGATTGGAGAACATGGTTAATTGATTGGATATTCATTAATTTGGTTATTGATTATCATCATCACTTGAGATCCTTCCCTAACACATTTCCGAGCCATTGTGTATCGGCTAATGTGAGCTTTGATAGTTTTTTCCATTCTTTAACATCAAGCTGTGACATTTCGTTTATCATTTCCATATCTTCATAATTTGTTTTAACTTTCATTCCCTCTTCCTCTATGTCAGAATCATCTTCTTTTTCATCCTCATTTTCTTCTTCACCTTCACTTTGGTCCATATCTATTTGATCTCTGCTTCAAAATAAATAGAATTTAGATATTATCAATAAGTGAAGAACACATACATTTATATGTATATACATTATACATGCACATGAATATTTATTTATATTGTATATTAGTATCTTGAACCTTGGCAAAAGAATTTCATGTGAACTCTTTATACGTGACAACACAGAGAAACTTGAACTTGACACCTTGCATACATAGGCACATTCTACTTAACTATATACATTCATACGTACATACATACAACATACATACATGATACATATTCATAATTGCAGCCATGTGCAGTGGCGGGTCCAGGAATTTGAGTTAACCACTGATGTGACGTATTACGGAAGCACACCAGTCATACAGTTCAATGGACCTTCCCCAGTGTCAATCAAACTGAACAACTGACCAATCGCAACAGGGACAGGAATATGCGCATGTCTAACAAGTATACATGTTGTCACACAAACACACGAGTCTGCGTATGTTGTAACACTGTCATTTTGTGGGACTTCAACAGCCAAGGGGTTGTGCTTAGTTGAAAGGTCTATTGCAGAGCAAACAAATGCTTAATTGAAGCAATATATACTGTATATACTCGTATATAAGACGAGGCAAAAAATAGCAAATTATGATCGAAAAACAGGGTGTAGTCTTATACGCACGACATACAAATTTTGTATGTTTAAAATCATGTTTGTCTTATGTATGAATCGTCCATAACACGCAAATTTACTACAGCAATGAAGCTATTAAATGTTAGTATGAATGAACACAAGATTTTGATAAATATTCAAAATCTTATAAATTGGTAATATTATGAAGATTAGCCCTGCATTATTAAGATCATAAAAAAGCAGTAAAGTAGGAATACCTACAACAAAAATACAAAAATCATCTAAAAAATCTTCATAAACTCCGAGGTCGCCTTATACGCGAGTATATTCCATATGGAATTTCCCATCATTTATGGAATTCCAATGAGAATTGTACTTGAGGAGACACAAAGTCAGCAAAAGAGTTTCCACAGAGGATATATGTATTTCTTGTACTTAAAGCAACGTATATTGTATTTTGTCCTGTGTACAGACATTTTCTATTGATGATGATGATGATGATGATGATGATGATGATGATGATGGTATGCCTACTCTACCTGATATCCTGTATTCTGGGTAGGTGAGCCTTGATAAAAGAGGCACATAATGTCTTCACTGGTGGTAATACATGGGCTGGTGCACTTAGTAACTAGATAGAAAAATATTATTTTTAACAATAATGATAACGTTATATAGGTATATTATCATATATTCAGCATTCATCATATAATTTATTACTATGCGAGGCTTTTTAAAAACGTGTGCTACCCGCTACATTTTTAATATTATCATTGATCACATGATTTAAATTGACCTAAACTTGATTGTACAGAATTTGTCCACCCCGAATCCATCACTCATCAATCCAACCATCCACTCATTGATCCATTCATTCATCAATCAATCAATCTACAAATACATCCATCCATTATTCTATCCATCCACACATCAATCCATCATTCCATTCATCAATCCATCCATGCATTCATTCAACCACTCATCCACCCACCCATTCATCGATCCATCCATTCATTCATCGATCCATCAATTCATTAATCCATCCACTAATTATAACATCCATCCAGTAATCTATCCATCCACTAATCATTCCATTCATTCATCTACTCATCCATTCATTCATCTACTCATCCATCAATATTTATTAACCAATCCAACCATAGGCCCATATATCTTATTAACCAATCCATCCATTAGCCAACCAATTCATCTGATAATCTAACTACAGCTGCATTCATTTATCGATCACCAATCCATCTCTTTATAAGCCTATCCATACACATATCTATCAAGTTATCCATATATGCTGACCCCCACCCCCACACCCTCCCAAAATGCCAACGCACCAGCTAATTATTCATACTAACTTTATTACTCACATTTTTAATTGCTTCTGAACTTGGGTTGCCATGAAGCTTGCTGGATTCTTGCATTTCTTGCAGATTCAATGTATTTCCTTTACTTTGCTCAATGAACATGGAGAATGGTGTTGCAGGCAAGTTTTCTTGGATCCCTCTCTGCAAGGTATTACAGAAAAAATAATATATAATCTAATATGCCCACAGTAAAACTCCAGTTATTCATTTCATGTTGTTGAAAAAAATATTAAATTCTTCATCCCTCCTATAAATGTACAATATAATGATTAAAACAATTGGGAAGATTGGTCAAAATGTATAATGCACAAAAAACACTATTCAGTGTCATAACACACCTAAATAAATCTATGTCATTTGATTGGTGGATTTGATATCACGTGAAATTGGTTATTTAAACTATTTCGTCATCACTCATCATAAAAATTTAGTTTCATCTGTGCATTTTTTGTTCTATTAATTTTGCCCTCCACCTAATACAATGTTTTCAATCGTTGAGAGAAGTTGGACCATTCCATTTTTGAAAAGGTAGGCCTAATGGTCTTTTTCATAAAAATATATGATATTGTTGCAAGAATTAAAACTAAACTGTTTTTTTTGATTACCAATTGTTGCAAGTTGTTTGTGTTCAAACTTCTACTGACTGGAAGAATGTAGGCTAACTTTATTTTTCATAAAACATCAAATGACAAGGATCTATTTTTATGTGTGTTATAAAACGAATACTGAATGTTATGTATTACTGCAATGGGAAGAATATTTTCATTCATTGAAAAATTGTTCGAGTCAACTCGGCTCCCCCTCGTTGAATGGAACAGTCAATCTTTCAAGTCATGAAAATATTCTTCTTATTGCACTCATAAACATTCATTACATTACCATATTATATAAAGATGATGATAATCAGAGAAAATAAAATTTTTCTATTTTTTCATAATCACGGAATCCAAAGCCTATTATCGTACACTCACCACTCGGTCTGCGTTCCTTTTCTCTTCCCTCTCAGCTTCCTGCCGGCTTACCACTAAATGCAACTCCTGCTTTTTTGTCATTAAATAAAGCTGAGAATTATGTTGCCATGGCAACACATCCTCATTCTCCTCCTTTGGGAGTGCATGAAGACGAGGTATAAAAATCCCATTGATGACTTGACTCTTAATGAACTTTGGATGGGTCATCGCTGGTTTGGGGCTGTTGGCCTCAAAGACATACACTATAAAATAAATCGGAAAAACACTTAAATAAAATAACGTACTATCATTTTAATACATCATAAACATTCTCATTATTAACTCAGTCCCAGTCACCATTTACTTATAGTAAACAGCCATCAACACTGGTGGTGAATATGCCAGTTACAATTCCCATACAGGGGGACAAACCCCTACTTTTTTCCAAAGAGTAAACTACATTTCATATTGTTCAAATGAGCATAATCTTTCAGGAAGACGGCACTATATAAATTCAGTAAAGATATAATTGTAGATTGTAGGACTAGAGTTATGCTCATTAAAACTTACATGTTTTTGCTGAATCTATTGCAATCCAGTATTGGGATAACGGATCACACAATAACAGAGTCACCTCCATGCAGACGTTCCAACTCACTTTGAAAAAAAAAAAGCAATTCAACTGTTAAGCAGACAGAATCTAATATGTATCAGTATCACTCAACATCAATTGTGCAATAGAAATCTTCACAAAGCAGCAAAATCACTCAAATCACTACAAAGACTATCAGAACATTTTGTAACAACTCCATTGGATAGCTGAATTCTCATACACTTCCCTAAAGCTCCGTCCATTTGTATGCTCATATATAGTCATGATGTGCCTATATATGGTCATGATGTGATGTCATCATGACCATATTTAGGCATGTCACATGTTATTTGTCAAATAAAATTTGATAGTCTGGACAGGGCTTATAGAGGGTATTTATGTACAACCCCCACCCCCCTCAAATCAGTTGAGTGTATTTTTAGAGCCCCCACCCCCAAATCAGTTGAGTGTATTTTTTTCCCAAATTTACATTCTCTTATAGTTTAAGTATTTTTGGATTTCACAAACAATTGCTAAGAAGATTACTTTTGTTAAAATTGCAAGCAATTTGGCTCAATCGGCCATGAATTGTAAACTTGTGAAATTTTTGCAAGCTTGAATCCACTGATATGAAAGCAAGTTTATTAACAAAGAAAAAGAAGCAATGACTTACTAGAACATGTTAATAGGTTCCATACGCACAGGGTAGTGGCTGTGGTGGAGACTAGAAGATGTGAGCTGTCACCATGTCCGAATTGTAATTTCCTGCCAAGAAATATATCATGGAAAATAATGCAACGTCCATTATATCAACCAAAATAAATTAATTTTTCTCAATTCACCTCTTAAGACAAATACAGTTTGTGTCCAATCAATTAATCAATCAATCAATCATTCAGCAAGAATTTGTGCAGTGCCAAAAACAATGTTCAGTGGAACTAATGACGTTGCATTTACCCATAAATTTTCATATCAAAGTCTGTACCTCAATAAAAATTCAATTTTATCGATCTAAATCTCAGACTGATAACTTATTTGATACATGAAGTGAGCAAGCCTAAATTGATTATTTGAAAGTTTTCCCGATGTCATTAGACATATATTCTTATATTTTTAAGTACTCTATCTATTGCATCCCATCGGAAATAAGCTGTTTTAATATTAACAACTTTAACGGGTCATCCTGATATTAAATATATTTCTGACCCCTTATTTCTATATATTCATACCATGTTTTATCTTTTTAATGTAACTTTTAGGTCTTTGTACTGTATTAATCTGTATTTTATGTTGTATTGTATTCTGATGTCCAACTTTTTAATCTTTGTACATATTTTTACGATGCCAAAACACACTGATTAGCACCCTCTCACCTGATTGGGTATTTTGAACCATGTGATAATGTAGTTTTTAGTACATTGGTTGTTGGATCCCATATTGTGATCACTTGAGAAAAGGCAACAGCCAATAAGGAGCCATCACTTGCAAAACAAACATAACCGCATGGAAGGTTCCGGTAAAATCCAACAGAATGGCAGTTCCAACACTGATTATTTCCTTGATGGAGATGGAAAATTAAAATAAAATAGTCAAAAGATTTCTTAAATTTAAAGTTTCTTTTCATCATACAGTATTATGTAATTTGTTGGTTTAATTCCAATATATTATTTGCTGTTGAAATAAATACCAATTAAATAAATCATATAAAATGTTTGTATACTGTATATATCGGAATCATCCACAAGAGTCCAAACTTTGAACTGTCCTTCATCACTTGCGGTGACAGCAGTGGGTGTGGTCTCCTGGTTGCTAGGTGATGGCTTGAAACACAGGGAAGTGATCTTTCCTAAGTGTGGGTTCTCAACATTGGTATTTAATGTGAAACTGCAGAACGAAGAAAAAAGAAGGGTAAGAAAATTAACAAGTCTTTTTTTAGAAAACTCATTTCATTCACTTCATTTATTTCATTTCATTTTTTATATTTTTATTATAAACAATGACACAATCTGAGGATAACCAAAAGTAAACTTTATTACTATCGAGAGGTTCTCCAAACAGAAACAAGACAACAAACACACATATAAAAATAGCAAGCTTAAAGACATAAATTACTGTACAGAATAACAATAAAATTTTAAAAAATACAGTCATTACTCTTTTAACGTAAAAAACACAATAAAAGGGAAGCAAAAAAAAAATTAAAAAACAATTAATTAATTAAATAAATGGTTACAAGGATGGTACTTAAAATTATGATATGGTACTTGAAATTATGAACGGTACTTAAAATTAATCAACTCAGATTTACAAATACAATAATTTAGAAAATAAAAAAGAACCCCCTTAAAAATGATCAATAGCATTAGCTCCCAACAAATGGATTCAAATTTGAATCATATTCGAAAACTAAATATTAGGAGTGATGTAAAAATGAGAAAAAGAGAATGAAACAAATAAACAAAATTAATAAAACATTGAAACAATACAGAATAAAGAATGAAAAAGATTTAAAAAATTAATAAAATATTGAAACAATGCACAGATTATTTCATACCAAACACAAAAAATATATTTAAAAAAAATCTCAATCAATAAATCAATAATCTTTATTTATCCCACATCAGGCAGTTATAAAAAACAACCAAAAAATAATAATTGCATTTTTAGTATATTCTTATTCTCCACATTTTAAGCTTAAAGATACTAGAAATACAAGATAGAGTTCAAAAAAAGTGTTCCACCGTGTTCCACCGAAATGCATGGTGGGAATACGAAAAATGGGACGCCCCCTACAGCTGGATCTAAAAAAACTTATGCCAAACTTTCGTTACCAAGTCGTCGCGTATTTTATTATCAATTCTCAACAAAGATACTAGATATAAAAACAAACTGGAATAGACACCCAGACAGTGACATCGGTGAATACATAACCTCCTTGGTGGAGG